GAAGATATGGCGTACCATAGTTTGATACTTCCCCTCCTCCTTCTTCCCCTGGCTTCCCCCTTCCAGCTCCCTCCTCCCAGGTCTCCACCTCCCCTCTCCCACCCTCTCTCTTCCCCTCTCCCACCTCCTTTTCCCAGTCTTCCCAAAGGTTAATCCCCCCTCTCCCCTTTTTGTTAAATAAAGAGAGTTTCTATTTTTGAACACACGTGTCCTTTATTTTTTACATCAGGAAGGGGGGCTAGGGAGGGGTAAGTGGGAGGGGGTGAGGGAAGAATGGGGTACAAGCCCTCTATGGGGAGGACTGGGGTGGCTCTGCAGGCTCCTCAGGGTGGAAGCTCTCCTGCAGAGCCTCCTGGATCCTGACAGCCTCCCTATTGATCCCCCCCATCCTCCGGATGGCAGCCTGCGGCAAGTAACATTTACTTAAGGGAGTATTCCTTACATCCCCAAAGTGTTCACTGAAATTAAATATCAGGGAATGAAGCGTTGTTTTCAATCTAGAAATATTAGAAAAAATACATGTATGCACACATGTACATATGTATAAATCAGTGAATCAGAAGCTGTAAAATGAAGAAGTTTAAAGACATGCTTGAGAGCAGGAGGCAGTGAGGAACACGTGTTTCTAGATGAAATTCTTGCTTATTGAAGTCAATGGAAAAACTTCTATTGACTTCAAGAGTCACATATTTTAGTCTCTAAGTATGAGGTGACGTGGGGAGGTCCAGAGGAGTTAGGAGTTTCCAACAAGTTGATGCTGGTTGTTTTGCATGTTTTGTTATATGTTTGTGTCATTATCTGGGAAGAAAGATGATAATAGATTCAGGGCTCTGGTTTTGTTGAGTATTTATTGATGTTTTGAGATAAATCAATTGGATGTACTTTGCAATTGCATTTCTACTCGGTGCAGGGCAGAAAGCCGTAGCCTCACCACAAGTAGCTGATGTCCACAGCCCCAAAGCCTCACAGTCCCCCACTTCACAGTCCCCCACCCTGTATTGCCCTGTTTTGTTACCCCCGAACTCTGGCCATGGCTTATATATGGAAAAATCAGCTGTTGGGCACAGACAGGCTATGGATTTTGAGAGCATGTGGGGGAGAGGGGCTCACAAAGGAAAAGGTTGAGAACTTCTGGCCTACGTCATCCCACGCATTTCAAGGGATGGATTACCCAATAGGCAAACTAAGCATATGCTTAGGGCACCAGCAAAGCAGGGCCACCAAAAAAAAAAAATTTTTTTTTAATATGATATTTGATATTTCAAAAAAAAGCATCGAAGTAGTCATCATGGGAAAAATCAGAACTCTGTTAGACTTCCTTACACTCCACTACACACTCGTCCCCCATTTTTCTGTTCTCTGTTTATTACTTATCCCCACCTAAACCAGGGGGGCATCCTACTAACGCAGATCGAAATAATGCGAGGAAATCAGATCCTGTCATGTATTGCAATAAATTTATGTTTTATTATTGATACAGTCTTCTGAGTTATATGTACTTGATTCATTTTTTTCTTATATATATATTATATATATTTATACATAAAAAATAGTATACGTTGTGTAATTTTTTTTTTTTTTAAGTTCAGATAACTGAGATAAGGGGCAGTTCTTAAAACATATTTGGGCAATGATCATGTATTGAAATCTCTTTCTAATACTCGCTGGGAGGCACATGCAGTGGCAACAAGTGAAGTTCTGGAGTCCTACTCAAAGTTTGTGGATGCATTAGAAAGGATAGCTGAAGACGAATCACAAAAGGAAAAAACTATATGAGAGGCAGAAAACACTGCAAACAAGATGCAAGAACTAGAGTTTGTATTCATGTTGACCATGTGGAATGAAATTTTACAACACTTTTACCACACAAGTCAAGCTCTTCAAGAAAAAGAATTGGATTTGAAAACATGTGCAGACCTCTGGCAATCATTAGCAGACCACTTACACACTTTGAGGAATGATTTCGAAAGATTTGAAGATATATCAAAAGATATCTTGCCTGATACTAACTACAAAGAAGCCCAGTCCGCAAGCGAATCAGGAAAAAACAAGCAAATGATAGCAGTGCAACAGAAACAGCATTGAATCCTAGAGACAAATTTTGAATATCTATTTACTACACTATAATTGATACACTTGAAGCTCATATGAAGAGGAGAGGTGAAGTGTACAAAGAAGTATCAAGTAGGCTTTCTTTTCTAAATGATATGGACTTATCTGACAAACAATATTCACAAAGTTCCCCAAAGCTTGTTGACTCATACCCCGTTGAGTTGAACATGAATCTCTGTGGAGAAGTACAGCAGTTCCACTGTTATATGCGCGCAAAGTTGAATGAAACAGGAAAAATGAAATTCAGTCACACTGATCTTCATGACACAATACTGAAAGATGGAATACTATGTGTATTTCCAAATGTATAAACCGCACTACATATTTTTCTAACATTGATGATTACTAACTGCTCCACAGACTGCTCTTTTTCTCAGCTGAAAAGAATAAAAAACCCTCAGAGAACAACAATGTGTCAGGACATTGATTCACTTTCCCTATTGTGTATAGAAGTGGAAATGCTTCGTCAAGTCAGCTTCTATGAATTTATTCAGAATTTTTCAACCAGAAAATCTAGAAAGAAGCTATTTTAATTTCAGCATACATGTAAGTTTTGTGTCATTTCGAAAAATAAAGTTTTATTTTATGGTATAGTATTGCTTTTATTTTGAATTA